CCCGAGGCCTCCGCGTCGTCCTGCCTCGGCCGCCCGCCGGTCTCCCTGCTCTGCTCCAGCCCGCGCCTGGCGCGCTCTCCACCCACCCCGACTCGCGGCGTTGTTTCGTGTGTGTTTTTCTCTAATTCTCCGGAGTTACTCTTTTGTTGCCAATTGTTTCTATGCCCCGAGGCCACGCTGTAAATGAGATGTTACATCTGCACCGAGCTAAGTAAACACTTTATCAATGAATAAATAAGTGAATAAATAACGAAATAGTCATCTCGGGGACCCTCCCGGCTGCCAGGACTCCGGCCACAGGGTCGCGGGTTCCTAGTTCAGGGGTTGGGGAGGGGAAAAGATGGTTTAGAACCTGGCACCCCCCCACCACAGACAGCCTGGCCGCCCCTCATTGAAGTGCTGCCCCCACCCCCAGCCCTGCTTTTGCTCCCTCTCCCAAATTCTCTCCAGGCTCCATCAATTTCCCCAGATGTCCTTTGGAATTAGTGCTTACACCCTCCGCTATGAAAAAAGAATTACAGATCAGAACGGGACTTAACCCTGGGTTTGCCACCACTGGTTTCTTTTAATAGGCGCAGCCTGGCAGCTCAGGTTGGTCATCTAGGCCGGTGTGGGTGCGGAGGGGAGGGGGGCGGACCCCGCACCCCCTCAGCGCACCCAGACCCAAGATGGAAGCCTGGGTTTAAAAAAAAAAACAAAAACCAAAAACCAAAACTGTCACAAATGTGAAAAAACAGCGTGCTCCTACAAACCCTGCCTGGCACTGAAGGAACCAGGCCATGCAGCACCCCAACTCTGAGCAGGCGGCTGAACTTTGCAATTATCATGGATAACAAGAACAAATGAAAAAGCACTCATTGAGTAACTGATATCAATTATGAAACCCGGCTTTGGAGTCTGGAATAAATGATAGGGGAATTGGCCTGAGAGAGAACGGAGCAGACATGTTATTATTTACGCCAGATTAAGAAAAGTATCCAATTTGCTGGCCTTCTCCCTCCCCGTGGGAATTGGCATCAATTTTATTATTGTTCCTCCGATTTTAATATTCTCTAAATGAATTACTATTGAGCGAGGTAGTTAGTCAATAGTTTAATGCAATTAATTATCTTTAAATCGCTTTGTTATCTTTTTTTTTTTTTTTTTGAGAGTCTTAACTCCAACTCCAGTGAGCGTTTGTTGACAGGACACTGGAGAGGGGGTGTATGCAGGTCCAGGGTGAAGAGGTCCTGGGGTGAAGAGCCTCTGTCCCCTAATTGGAGCAGTGACAGCAGTGCACACTTCAGGGAGTCTCCACCAGGGCACATAGAAGGGGGAAGAAGGGTGCAGCCCAGATGCCCCCAATGCAGTCTGAGCCTCTTTCATTGTTTCTAGTTTAAAATTAGGGAGGAAATAAGACTCACAGGCCAGCCCTACTCCTGTTTCTCTTCTGGACTCCCTGGGGGCTCTTCCTGGGTGACACAGGGGGCCTTCTCTTGAGAATGGTAGTCCCTCCTTCCCTCCTCTGGCTTTGCCACCTGTAAGGGCCAAGGAAGCATGGAGCTGGCACAAGGACTTTGTGGGAGGGACAGTGGGGCACTCGATATTATCCCCAGGTCCCCGTCTCTTTCCTGTTTAGGGGCACAGGGGAAGGCCTTGTCTCCACCTTAAACACCCTAACCACCCCCTCACTGGTGTGGCCCCTGCAGGCCTCACAGTATCTAGGTGGGCAGCCCAGGTCAGGCTCCCTGAGTCTGGTAGAGTGGCCAGCTAGGGTCCAGAGAGGCCTGGCTGATCTCTCTGGAACTCGTTGCTGGGGACTAGGGTCCCCAGCTTCAAGGTTTCCAATTTCCTATTCCCATCTACCAAAGTAATGAGTTGTGAGTGGGGGCTTCAGTCTCTACTCAAACTGAGGGTGGCTGGTCTTCCAGCGAAAGCCCCCCTGCTTGCTCCCAGCCCTGATCAGGCACACCAAGAGGCAAAGCTGTCTGCGGTGAGGCCTGGCAGGTGGCCCATCTGCTAAGGAGGAGAGGACTGAGGAGACAACTCTTCTCCTTCAGCAGGTCAGGGTGACCATTCCTTCTCAGTGAGATCAGGACACCTACAGAGGGGAAAAGATGGGAGGTGGCAAAGTCCTGCTGGTGGATAGATGGCAGGTAACAGTTAACCTTGTAGATGGTCACTTACCTAGGTGACACTTTGAGCCAGAGCAGTAAAGATGCTAAGAATGCAGAAGTCAGGTGGTGAGCAATCTGCCCTGTCTGATCCCACCTAGGGCATGCGTACTAAGTGCCTAGGTGTCTGTGGCTGCAGGTAGGAGCAGGGGCCATGGTGCGAGACCCAGACCCCAACAAGCCTCTCTGGAATGCAACGCAGGCCCTGAGAATTTTCCTCTTCCTCCCACCCAGCCACCCATCCACCCCTGAAGAAATGCTGGACTTTCTCACCATTCAGCGAAAATTGAATTCCCCCGAAATAGCTCCAAGGACAGGACCTGGTATTTCATAGTGTTTTAAAAGTAATATTCCGTTTGTCGGTGCCGTGAAATAGGGCACCAGGAACGCTACAAGAAATAAAAAGAGTAATTTCTCAGTGGAGAAGTTGCCTGTTTCCAATTCAGGGCCGAGGATGGTAGGAACCTGGATCCCGCGCTGTGGTCAGGGGAGGTGGCATGGTCCTCCTGCCTGGTGGCCGGGCAGCCCCTCCTACCTTGCACATCTGGAATTGGCATCAGGGGCCCCTTGGTCCGGAAGTTCTCACACTTCACGACTCATTAACCTCAGGGCTTGGATTCCTTGGGAAAGGGGATGAGGACCTGGGTTACGCTGGGGGTTGGGGCTCATGGTGGCTGCCTCTGCCCCATACAACTCTGCAGGCAGCAGCTGGCCAGGAAGGAGGGGTCAGGGGCATGATCTGTGGGGTGAACCTTCTTCGGGGCCTGGGAACTCTCCAGTGCCCACTTTATAGGGCAGAGCTGAAACCACCTTGGCTGTGGGGCAAAGAGCTGGCAGGGCCATGGGCAGAAAGGCCCTCTGTGTATAGCTGTGGGAGGGTGGGCCCCTGGCCTGGGTGGATGGGGTAGGGGCTAGGACACCTCAAGCAAGACTATGGTCTGGAGATAGATTTCTCTTGGGCCAACTGAGCAGAGGTGGGAGTGCTGGCCTCTCCACCCCAGGAGGCCCAGAGGGGCTGCTTGGCCTGCCTGCCTGGCCCTCAGAGCTGGGGGCCTCCCCGCCTCTCCTCACACTGATTTGATGGTTACTGATTCTGCCTTAATGTCTGAAGGGGATAATACTTGGGAGCTTAAAATTACAATTGCTTCTACTTAAATTTATTTGATGGCCGAAGCGTTTCCGTTATACATCCGTATATGGGTTTTCAATATCTTAAATGTTTAAAAAGGTTTTATTCTGTACTTACACTGAGTGAAATTAAAAAGAAACAGTAAAATGTTTGAAAATGAAGTGCATTATGTTTAATAAATTTAAAATGAACAAAGACTGCTATATTGCCAGCAATATCATTCCCTGCCCAGGGGCATTAATAAAGACTGGAGGTTTGGAAAAACAATATTTTCTATTAAAATTCTTCTCTGTGTTTCAATATTAAAAGGATATGTGATGAATTTCCAGTGCTACCCGGACGGGGTCAGAGATTAATTTCATTTCTTTCTGGTCAGCATTCTGTCGATAATTAATCAAAAGCAGAGTTTCTTAATGAAACACTTTTCATAAGGTGATAATTAGCAGGAAAGAGGCGGCCCGCAGACAGTCCCGCGAGCTGTCTAATAACCAGCGAGGCGCGGGGCTGGGTCCCGGGGCCGGGGGCGGGGGCCGC